CAGGGCCAGGGCCAGAGGACGTGGTCAGGGACAGGAGGCACAGGAGAGGACAGGGGACACTGGAGGGGGTGGGGAGGGGACAAACAGGAAGGGGAGGGGGACAGAGGACACTCACCTGGGGTGAGGAGGGGACAGGGGACACGGGGGACACTCACCTGGGTGGGGAGGGGACACAGAGGACACTCACCTGGGGTGAGGAGGGGACAGGGGACACAGGGGACACTCACATGGGTGGGGAGGGGGCACAGGGGACACGGGGGACACTCACCTGGGTGGGGAGGGGACACAGAGGACACTCACCTGGGTGGGGAGGGGGCAGGGGACACTGGAGGGGACACAGGGGACGCTCACCTTGACAAGGAGGGCTCCATGTGGCTGCACCGTGCCCGCTGTCCCTTCTGTCCCTTCTGTCGCCGCTGTCGCCGCTGTCCCCTCGGTGCCCTCGGTGCCCTCTGTCCCCTCTGTCCCCGCTGTCCCCTGCTCGATGACGATGAGGCTGAACTCCTGCTCCGAGGGCCCCGGGAAGATGCGGAACACGGGCGGCTGCGCCGGGTCCAGCTCCAGGTCCAGCTCCAGGCGCTCCAGGCTCACCCGCGGCTCCTTGGGGAGCCGGGGGCTGTCCTGGGCCCCGGGGGGGCCCCTCCTGGGGGACAGCGGGGTCACCCCGGGGTCCCCAAAACCACCGGGGGACAGCGGGGTCACCCCGGGGTCCCCAAAACCACTGAGGGACAGCGGGGTCACCCCGGGGTCCCCAAAACCACCGGGGGGACAGCGGGGTCACCCCAGGGTCCCCAAACTTCCTGGGGAATCTTGGAGACAGCGGGGTCACCCTGGGGACCCCAAACCTCCTGGGGGACAGCGGGGTCACCCCGGGGTCACCAAACCTCCTGGGGACAGCGGGGTCACCCCGGGGTCCCCAAAACCACCGGGGGGACAGCGGGGTCACCCCAGGGTCCCCAAAACCACTGAGGGACAGCGGGGTCACCCCGGGGTCCCCAAAACCACTGGGGGGATCCCAGGAGATTGGGGGGCTGGGGGTCCTGGGAACTCTGGGACAGGGACAGTGACAAGGGCTGGGGACAGGGGACACAGACAGGTGGCCCTGGCCAGGGTGACAGGTGACAAGGGACAGAGGGGTCCCAGGGCCCATCCTCCCCTCCTCCACGTTCTAATTACCGCTTAATGAGCAGTGTCTTAACGAACTTCTCCTCCCGGGGGGAACTGCCGGGGTTCCTCCTGCAGAGGGGGACAGGGACACCCTAAAATGTCACCCCTGGGACAAGGGACAGGGGAGCAGAGGGGGTGACAAGGGACAGGGGGGAACAGAAGGGGTGACAAGGGACAGGAGGGACCAGGCCAGAGGTGACAAGGGACATAGTGGAGCAGGACACAGGGTGACAAGGGACAGGGGGTCCCAGGGGTGGCAGGGGGTGACAGGGGACAGGGACCCCCCCCCACACTCACGTCCTCCCTCCGGTGACGCCGTTTTCAGGGCTGGGGGCTGGTGACAAACGCCACGTCAGGGACTTCCCGCGGGTCCCCTCCCGTGTCACCCCCCCATCCTCGCCCTCGTGTCCCTCCCCGTGTCCCCTCCCATGTCCCCATCCCGTGTCCCCCTCCCCGTGTCCTTGTGTCCCCTTCCGTGTCCCACCCGTCCCCCTCCCTGTGACCCTCCGCCATGTCCCCTGTCCCCGTGTCCCCTCCCTGTCCCCTCACCCAGCTCGGGGCTCTCGGTGGCCACTGGCTCCAGGCGGGGAGGTGACAGCTGGGGGAGAGGTGACAGCGGGGGAGGAGGTGACAGTTGGGGGGGACCCTGTCCCCCGCTGCCCACCACGGCCTGGGGGTGGCCCTGCGGGACAGCGGCGTGGGGACATCACGGGGGGGTTCCGGGGGGGTGGCACCCCCACAATGTCCCCCC